AATGTAAAGCGTTTGATTTCTTCATTCTTCCCTTTGAAGAATGTGGCAACTTTGCCAATATGCGTGCTTGTGAGACAAAGTCCATTTCCAAAGGTAAACTCAAAACCTTTATCAATAGTTAGACTTTGAAAGTACGATTTATTGCCCGTAATGTGCCTTCCGCACCCCGAGTCGAGGACCCAGTCGTTCTTGTCGTCAGCTTCCTGCAACCGATAGAACAGATAAGGAGCAATCTTACGTACCTTTGCTTCGATCTTCATCGATGCCTTGGCAACCTGCTTGGTGAGATTGTACACGGTATCCCACTTATCGGGACTGTCCGAGTCACTTGAAGACGTGCCGCTGCTGCCTGAGTCATCACCTCGATGCTTGGCGTGGCGCGCACGCTTCTTCTTAGTCATCTTTCCCTTGGCCCTCGCCTCGGTCAAGTGACTGGATTCAGAAAGATCGTTGCGATCTGACGACGCGTCATCAGATCCGATGCCTTCCGAGACTTGCGAGGTGCTTCCACGCTCGCCTTCAGAACCGCTCGAGGTGCTTCCACGCTCGTCGTCGGAACCGTCATGATGACAGTTGTCATGGCGCCCGGCATTGCCCTTCGACTTGACCGAATAGGCGCCCATCCTGACCTTGACGTTGGCGGACGAACGGACGCTGCCGTTGGCTTTGTCCGTGGCGCGCTGCGAGCAAGCGTCGTCCTTGTCGTGCCGGTGGCACTGGACGCTGCCGCCGTCGCGTTTGTCCTTGCCGCCGCGCTTGTCCGTGGTCGTACCGAAGAGGTACTTGGCTCATGACATCCCAGAGGGACGCATGTCAACGAGCTTGTTGACCTTGTCAACCATGACACCGTCGTTGTTCTTCTTGGCCTTGCCATCGCCGTCGTCGCTGCTGACCTCCTTCGAGATCGCGTCGATCTTGGGCTGGCGCGGTTGCCGGTCCGCCCATGCTTGGTCGAACGGCCGGTTCGCGGTGGCAGGCCGTTCCAAGCCTTCGACGTCCTGCTCCTTGGAGAGAGCGTCGAGCATCTTCAGGAACGTCGCGAGATCTTCGCGCTTGCCCGTCACCGTGTCACCTTCTTTGCCGTCGACCATGCGCACGCACGCCTCGCGGAGGCTCGCGCACATGTCCTCGTCGTCCGTGTCCAATGCGCCGACCACGTGCTTGAGCAGCAGTGCGAGATGCTGCGCACGTCCTTGCGACTTGTTGTCCACGGCGAGGCTACTGCCGACCTTGGTGTTCTTGTAAAGCGACATCGTGAGGATCGCTTGGGTACTTGAAATGTTGGTCTTGACCAACGCAAAAGCAAAATGCAAATGTACAGAAAGGGCTCCAGGTGTGTAGAAGCCACCGTCCGCACTCCGTAGTGAATGGTGTATTGTAGAGTGAGTGGAGTGCTGGTGGCTTCGGTGTTCACACGTATCTTTCACCGCCCTGGTTTGGTGGCTTCTTCTAAGCCACCCGTTGCTTGGATCCGGGCCGAAGCCGCCAAGCT